CCGGCCACCTTCCATAAAACCGGGGAAGGAGACGCCACATGGGAGCAACCCCCCCCCACTGCTGCAGGAACAGCCCTGCCCCCACCCTGCTCCAGCGCCCCCAGCAGCAAAGCCCCTCGCCGGCACCTCCGTAAAGCGAGGTTCTGGCCCCCCACGGGCTGGGAGGCATCTCCGGTCCCTGGGAGCTGCAAGGGACCCTCGGGGCAGCCCCTCCCCATGTAGTACCGCCCCCTGCAGGGCGCCTGTGGCCGGGTCAGCGGCCGGAGGACCTGGTCTGTCACGCCAGCCTGCCCTGGGGCTGTCCTAGTACCGCCCCCTGCAGGGCGCCTGTGGCCGGGTCAGCGGCCGGAGGACCTGGTCTGTCACGCCAGCCTGCCCTGGGGCTGTCCTAGTACCGCCCCCTGCAGGGCGCCTGTGGCCGGGTCAGCGGCCGGAGGACCTGGTCTGTCACGCCAGCCTGCCCTGGGGCTGTCCTAGTACCGCCCCCTGCAGGGCGCCTGTGGCCGGGTCAGCGGCCGGAGGACCTGGTCTGTCACGCCAGCCTGCCCTGGGGCTGTCCTAGTACCGCCCCCTGCAGGGCGCCTGTGGCCGGGTCAGCGGCCGGAGGACCTGGTCTGTCACGCCAGCCTGCCCTGGGGCTGTCCTAGTACCGCCCCCTGCAGGGCGCCTGTGGCCGGGTCAGCGGCCGGAGGACCTGGTCTGTCACGCCAGCCTGCCCTGGGGCTGTCCTAGTACCGCCCCCTGCAGGGCGCCTGTGGCCGGGTCAGCGGCCGGAGGACCTGGTCTGTCACGCCAGCCTGCCCTGGGGCTGTCCTAGTACCGCCCCCTGCAGGGCGCCTGTGGCCGGGTCAGCGGCCGGAGGACCTGGTCTGTCACGCCAGCCTGCCCTGGGGCTGTCCTAGTACCGCCCCCTGCAGGGCGCCTGTGGCCGGGTCAGCGGCCGGAGGACCTGGTCTGTCACGCCAGCCTGCCCTGGGGCTGTCCTAGTACCGCCCCCTGCAGGGCGCCTGTGGCCGGGTCGTCCCTGGGCCCAGGGGCTGTGCTCCGAAGGCCCAGCTCTGGATGGAGCCAGCCTCTGCCGGGTGCCCCGAGATGCCCAGGGCATGGTACTGGCTGTTGAGTTTCTGCAACTGCATGCTGGCCAGCAGGTGCGGGGCTGTCTGCAGGGCGAAAGGGGGCTGCTTCGAGGGCGGGGGGGCTGCAGAGGGGGCCATCATACCCGTGCTGGCCACGTGGGACCCCACGCTGGGGTAGTGCAGGATGGTCACAGCTTTGTGGTCCTTCATGCTCAGGCTGGGAAAAACCAGAGAGCTCATCTCCTGCTATGTCCTGGAGAGAAACAGAGTCCTCACTACGAGAGCCAGGCCCCCATGCGCCTCCCCGATCCCCCAGTCCTGGGCACTGGGAGAACCCCCCCCAGGCAGCACCCTGCATCCCACCCCATGCCACAGGGGAGCCAGCATCAGGGCTCTGCCTGGTCCGGCCCAAGGCTTGCACTGGGTGCTCAGGGCCACCCCCGGCCGTCAGCCCATGAACAGGAGACGAACCCCCGGGCCCAGGACCAGCTGGTGTGGGCTGCTGGCTCTCAGCCTGCCAGGGCGCCCCCCCGGCTGCCATCCCCTCCTGCTCACCTGGTCATGCCACCCTGGGGCGAGGTCCCGCACCAAGCCTGCCCCAGACTCCTGTGCCCGGAGCCAGCAGACGCAAGGGCCGGACTGATGGGCAGATCACACCGTGGTGCCGAATGCAGCCACCCCGGGAGCAAACCCAGTGGTGCCTGCACATGGGCTGGTCTAGCTGGGGTGTGGGGTCTCCCTCCCAGCCCAGCCTCCCCTGCCGCCTTCTGTGGTGCCGAATGCAGCCACCCCGGGAGCAAACCCAGTGGTGCCTGCACATGGGCTGGTCTAGCTGGGGTGTGGGGTCTCCCTCCCAGCCCAGCCTCCCCTGCCGCCTTCT